ATATACAAAACAGAGCAGAAACAACTTTTTGGAGGAAACACAGTTGTTTAAAATGAAAAAATAGGGGCGCCTGGGTGGCTCAGTCGGTTAAGCGTCCGACTTTGGCTCAGGTCATGATCTCGCGGTCCGTGGGTTCGAGCCCCGCGTCGGGCTTTGTGCTGACAGCTCAGAGCCTGAAGCCTGTTTCAGATTCTGTGTCTCCCTCTTTCTCTGACCCTCCCCTGTTCATGCTCTCTCTCTGTCTCAAAAATAAATAAATGTTAAAAAAAAAATTAAAAAAAAAAGAAAAAATAATAAATCACACATTATAAAAATAAAAGTATTAATCACAGAATGATAAACTTCCAAAGCCAAGCAGTAATCAGAACAGGATAGAAATGGCTAACCTTTGTCAACTGTGAAAAGTGTTGGTATTAATTAAAATATTAAAATAATGTTTTTCTTTTTAAACAGTAAAATACTCCTTGTAGACATACGATTCAGCAATTCATCCTTAATTGTTAGAAAATTGTTAAAAATGAATACATGTTAAAACTTTCATTTGACCAAATATGTATTTGGAAAACATACACTCTGTCCTTCTTAGGGAGGATGATCTTTTATTCTACTTTTGAATTATCAAATGTAAACTTAAAAACTGTACAATTATAAGATTATAGCCTAGCAGTCACTATAAAGTCCACAAGTTAGTTAATGTATCTGAAATAAAACAGTAAACTGAATCCAGTGACTATCAATTCCTACCTGTAGTTTGTAATTTCATTCATCAAATATTCACTTTATCAAAATAAACACACATTTGTGGCTAATGACTAAGTCAAGCCAGAATGGAAAGTTTAAAATTTAAACAGGAGCAGCACTTATTCACAGTCTGGTGTTTTAAAAACACTGATCCCTGTGACCCTTCTTTAAAAACAAAACAAAACAAACAAACAAACCCCCGCCCAAAAAAAAGAAGAAGAAAGAAAGTACTGAACACGTCATATTAAAATACAATTTTCTATGCAGTGTCTACATTTTTACCATTTACCGATGAGCTATTAAACTGTAGTCTGAAGTTGAATTCTATATATTACATTCACCAGGAAACATTTACAAACATTTTTTTCCTCAAGTTGTTTTGAATACAATATAGTGGAGAGATAATCTGAAAATAACTAGTTTTTACCAGGATAAGTTAATTCCGCCCAGAACAAATAATAACTCCTGGACCTACTCTAAAAATAGGCCATTGAAATAACCGATGAAAATGTATTTTCAAGACAGAAAAGTATCCAGGATGAAAAGTTGTAACACTGAGTTCTAGAAAAACTTTTCAGGTGGGCATCTGAATAGGGGAAAAGTTAAGATCTGACAAAAAGAAACCTTTCTTTTTTTTTTTTTTAAATCCTTCAGTTCTTTTATCACTTAATTCTAATATGAAAACCATAATTCGCCATTAAAGACTTCATTATTAAAACTATGGTAAAAACAAAGTGCAGAGATGTACCTGGGTTTATGGGAGAAGAATGATTTTGTTTACTCTCAGAAACGACCTTGCACGAGACCTGAACTGGAAGTTATCTAGAAACCCAGGGAAACACTATTTGGTTCTCTTTTTTATGGGGCGCTTGGGTGGCGCAGTTGGTTAAGCGTCCGACTTCAGCCAGGTCACGATCTCGCGGTCCGCGAGTTCGAGCCCCGCGTCGGGCTCTGGGCTAATGGCTCAGAGCCTGGAGCCTGTTTCCGATTCTGTGTCTCCCTCTCTCTCTGCCCCTCCCCTGTTCATGCTCTGTCTCTCTCTGTCCCAAAAATAAATAAACGTTGAAAAAAAAAATTTTTTAAATAACCTCAGATTTGGGAAGCTCATCAAAACTACATAGGATGTGACAAATTCCCATGCGGACACCATTATCTCTCGTCCCACACAAACCAGTCTTGGTTAACTGGAGTACAAAGCGTTCCAACGAAACCGCTTTTGTGGAGGCAGAAGAGTATGGTGATTCACACCACAAAAACACTGGCTGGAGCGTCAGACAGAAATGGAGCCCGGTGTCTCTCTGCGACCTATCACCTTGTGACCTCAGCCAGTTACTGAGTCTCCTCTGAGGCTGCAGGTGGTTGTATGCAGCACAGGACAGAAACAAATGTGCTTCATAGGCACATCTTGTATTAAATTAAAAAAAAGCATATATAACATTTAGTACAGAGTGTGGGGTACGTCACAGCCTTCAACAGGTGGCAACTGTAATTGCTATGATTACAAACAGCAGTTGAGTAGAATGTGTCACTTTCTCCTTGTTTTAGCAAGCAGGCCACGTGACTCTAGTATGCAGGGAGCGTAAGGTTATGCTAACACTGTGTGAGAATGTCATTCTTAAAAGAAAAGGTTAAGAGTAGACTTTTCAATGGCTCAAATGACTCACATGTACAAACGTGGACTTGCCCTTGATAAGGGTGATGAAAAACGAGACATCAATGCCAAGGGTGACTGGGCTGGTGTCACTTCCCCGCAGGGAGTTTGGCATTGAGACAGACAACTAACGGCTTACAACCTTTCCTGTCTTACAGCGGCCAAGAATAAAAGGTGCATGTCATACTTTAAAATGACTGTAAAACCACAGGAGGGATGGTCTACGCGGAACAGGAAGTATTTCTCAAGGAAACCACAGGAAAGCCAAACAGCCTTCAGAGAGACCCAAACAAGTGGACTCCCTATTACAGCTCACAGAACTAAAACAATCCAGTTTACTGCATTACCTTTACTCCGAGAAAGTCAAAATAGTAACTGTTATCTACAACTGTAGCATATGAGGAAGATGGTGGGCCTTACTACAGCTTTCAACCCCAAACTACATGTAGAAGGCGGGGTCGAGTTTGCTTCAAAAACACTCCATCTATTAAAAAAAAAATTGTTTTGGGGCACCTGGGTGGTTTAGTTGGTTGGGCGGCCGACTTTGGCTCAGGTCATGATCTCGCGGTCCGTGAGTTCGAGTCCCGTGTCGGGCTCTGTGCTGACCTCTCAGAGCTTGGAGCCTGTTTCAGATTCTGTGTCTCCCTCTCTCTAACCCTCCCCCGTTCATGCTCTGTCTCTCTCTGTCTCAAAAATAAATAAAACGTTAAAAAAAATTAAAAAAATTTGTTTTAATGTTTATTTATTTTTGAGAGAGAGAGAGAGAGAGGGACAGAGCACAAGCAGGGGAAGGGCAGACAGAGAGGGAGACACAGAATCTGAAGCAGGGTCCAGGCTCTGAACTGTCAGCACAGAGCCCGATGCAGGGCTCGAGCTCATAAACCGTGAGATCGTGGCCTGAGCCGAAGTCAGCTCAATGGACTGAGCCATCCAGTGCCTGGTCACCCCACCTATTTTAAAACAGGAGTATACAACAGGGAGAGAGAATGCTGCAGAAAGACTGAGCTCTGCCTCCCAACAAGCCACCTGGCCTGGGAAACGCCTTTTGATGCTCTGGACTTCACTTTGCTGCTGGGTAAAACCAGGAGGTGGCACTAGGGGAGCAAGTCACTGTCACCTGGTATTGCTGGGGGAAGCCTGCCGAGATCCCATCATTTTCAAAGTTTTGATCGGGAAGAGCTGAGACTCTCCAGGCTCCACAGACTTTTCTGCTCCCTCCTGTCTCCTACCCACCCTTTCCTGAAGTAACATAAGTGACAGACCCTTGTGGACGGGACAGTCTACAACACACCCTCTAAAGCACCGTCCAACCCTGCCTTCATATGGTCATACCACTAACTGCTAAAACTGTCCAAAAGTGTTGTTGAGGTCATTAGGATATTTATACTTGAGATAAAAGAATAAACTGGAAAATTAAACGCCATTAACCTCTAGGATTATGAACTGTGTACTGCGTAGACTGAGGGAAAATAGAGGATTTTTAAATTAAGATACAAGGTAACTGTATCATTGATGGTTTTCAGTAAGAGACAAAACACAAAGTTATTTACCTCTGCCTTATCAGTACGTCTGATATTTGTATTTATATTGTCCTAAATAATTTTTAGGCAAATTCATGGTTTTGAAGTTATTTTTATGACATGTTTCTAAGGTCATGAAAGCCATGGTATGAAAATGATTCACAGGGTGAGGACAGTAGAGGACACAGCTGGTTATAATGGAAGGAGAGAGGGGAGAGGACGTGGTTTCCCGTCGTCACCTTCTCTCACTTGTGATTTCAAGCACATTACCCTGGGTTTCATGCCATACAGGCCTTGCCGGGAGTTGAGTTACCACAACGTAAGGGAACCACTGAGCACCTGGGTATATATACTAACTTTACGAGTCAGCGGATGGCAGCTGTCTCCCACTTTGCCCATAGGTGTGCAAATCCTTATGCTCTTAACCCAGATACTAACAGCACAGCACATGCCTCCACCACACTGGGGGTCCTTGTCGCAGGCCTGAAAAGTAACAGACAGACAGATAAATACAGATAGCAGGGAAGACTCAGGCTAAGGAAATCCAAAATTAGCAGTAAAAAGGGCTCTTTAAATATCCAACCACTAGGATTTTAATACTCACGCATAAAAAATAACTGTAATCTTCATTTTCTTGAACATATTTAGAATAAAATCTGATCAGAAGAGATTTTCCTAGTTTAAAAACAATGGCCTACATAATGGTCCACACATTATGAAAATCTTAAATCAATACACATAGAAAATGTTATGTGTGTTAAAAAACGCACATAGAAAATCACCTCTCTTTTCTAGGATTTTGTGGCTGAATTGGCTTTGAACTTGAAAAACGAGGCTACATTAGTCTTATACCATACATGGCCATTAGGAACTACATAAATTGAATCAAAAGATTTTATGACTATTAACTGCAGAATACGTTGGGCCCAATTTTAAAAAGGGATTTAAGTGGTCTCTAAATCTGGCATGAAATGCTCCAGACCCATAAAGGCACTGATGTAAATTTTAAAAGTGCTCATTCTCCCTTTCAAATATTTGCATTTTGGTTCATGAGACTTGATGTTTCTCACACCACTGACTTGATTTTCACCATTTCCTCTTTAAAGAAAGAAATTTCATGGGTTGGGAATGGACAAACCAAGACTTTTGTCTACTGTTATGCTTTTTTGGGGGTAAGTAACCTACAAAAAGGAAATTATTGGCTTAGGATATACATATGTGTACATTATAAAATCAGTGGAACTATTCTTTAAGACTTATCCGATTTAGAAATGCAAACGACAGATACACTTATCAACAATGATTACTCAGGCCATCTGTTCCCAATATAAAAATTATAAATACAAGTAATTAAAGAATCAACTATGGAGAAATTTTCATACTCTCTCTAAATGGAAATAAATAATGTAGTCTAAATTTATTTGTATGAAAATAGATCTAAAGGACAACTGTTCCTTCCTAGAACCAACAAAAAATAGGAAGCTTAGTTTGAGTGGTGTGCAATACTCTGTTTTGCTAGAGCTAAGGTAAAACATACTGTACTGTATGTGTAAAAAACTAAAAAGTCTACAGTTTAGACAGAAATTCAAATTTTTTACATTTACTGGAAACAGTTCTTTTTCTTCAATGTTTTGGGGCCAGTCCCAAGTTCTCAAAACATAAATATATGAGCACACCCTTGTTTACTATTTTTCTTTAAAAACTACGAACCATCTAGCTCCAGGGTTGGTTTATTTCCCTCATGAGAATTTTTTTCTCATTCTATTTAAGGCAACTATCTGATAAAAAGCTACAGTTTTCACTTCCGACTGTTAGGACATTTATATGAAAACATCCAAACGTTCCTATTTTCCAATTTTTATGCGTTTGCCAGAAATCACGTACATGTGGCCTTTACATTCCATAAATGAGAGGTTCAGTATGTGATCTTTTCCAATACGTTCTTAACAAATCTATGTGGAATATAAATCAATTTCAAATGAACGACATATATTACACAAAAAAAAAAGGTAAATATTTAAGGTGGAGGTTTCAGGCAGTATTTTATATCAACAGATGCCCAAGACCCAGAATTCTGAAGCCCCACTAACCCTTTTTTATACGACAATCAAAAGTCAGCCAAAATCTTTTAAAAATTCAATCAATCACTTGGATGTTTAACATCCTGAAGACGAGAAGTTACTAAGTTTTTCATTTGGCTCCAGATGGTTCCTGTCATGAAGACATAACTACATTTTTTTATTGCCATGTCGCTTAGAGAAAATTTTTTAAAAAATCACTGAGGTAAAACAACAACAAAAACAGTATATGTAAGTCCACGCTAAGCCTCTCTAACAGATAAACATTCAGTGTGATAAAATTTCATTTTTGTAACAAAAAACTTCAGTTCTTGGAAATATTCACAAAGAATTGCATAGGTTTATGTATTTTTAATTAGACAGCTGTTGCCTAATGCCCCGCATCCTTAACCCATTGCAGATCTATTCAAATAGTGTTGTCCTGTGAATGGAACAAAAAGATACTTATATTGCAGAGGAATTCTGGGCTCAGAGGATTAGGGAGAAATTTAAAATGAGCCAGCAGGGAAAGAGGGGAAAAAAACCCCAGTCATGTTCCAACTCATATATTAAAAAGACCTGTAAAAACTTTTTTTTTCCAACCACACTGACAAAGCTATTCAAATACATTTTGTAAAAACCTCTATTTTAATAAATACCACAATGCTTATAATACGTATTGGATATAACCAAATACTGTTACTGTGCAAGGTCTTTCAAGATGCTATAAACCCTATTAACTAACTTGGGAGAGTGGAGCTTTATTTTCTCAATACAATGACATTTCCCTCAAATTTAAATATTTCATTACGCATCATCTGTTCCAACATAAAAGGTTTATTGAAATCCCATGATGTGCACTTAGATAATTGAAGTAATTTCATGGAGGTGTTAATTTAAGACTTAAAAAAAAAAAAAGAGTAAAGCAGGTGAACAACCAGGAAACGGTAGCGGTTTTGCATTGTTGATGTTAAAATAGACAAGATTTTTAAATTTTGTACTGTAAACTCATCCTTCGGGTCCACCCAGAGAAAACTGTTGGTAGGAGCAGGAGAGAAAACTGAATCAGCTCCTACTTCCAAAAATGATGAGGACAACTTCTCAAAGCTGAAACTAACACCTACATTGCAACCTACTCCATAATTATACCGGGGCACTGGAGGTGCTTTATCAGGAACTGGAAATGGAGAACTTTTACAAGGAAAACCTCAAGACGCTAGGGGGGGGGAAAAAAGCCCTGGAAACAGAAGGAAGTGCCCCCATTGCTTTTCAAAGCGCACACATGGCCTCGGACCAAGTTATTTCTAAGGGTTTCTGCGGAGGAAGCCAGACGAGCAAATTCCTTGACCATAGGACAAGTCTCAGGATTGGGGGATATTCGTCTTGCCCCTTTGCATTTCAGAAAGGGCCTCGCAAATTGTAAGGTTCGAGGCTGGAACGTCTCAAAGAAGTACTAGAGAAGACTCTGAAAGCAAACTTCTTTCAGCTTAACAGAAAAACCGACCAAACTCGAGGAGAGAGCTTGTAAGGAGATCGGACGGAAACAAGCGGGAGAAGTTGGTGATAAAGGAGGTGGGTAACACTTCGCTCACTTTTTCTTCCAAGGCGCACCCAATGTCCCGGACCGTCTGCCGCTTTTGGAGCAGCGCACCTCTCCCAGCGCGCCAAAGGGCCACCGGGGCAGGTGTCCCTGCCCGGGGCGACCCTCCCCGTGCCGCTCCCCTCCTGACCCACCCCCCCACCCCCACCCCCGGGCGCAGCGCGGGCGCGCATCCCGGGCGGACAGGTGCGTCCGGGGCCGCTTACCCCAGTGATGACGGCGGCGTCCCCGGCGGGGGGCGTGAGCAGCAGCGGCGGCAGCAGCAGCAGGAGCAGCAGCGGGGCGCAGCGCGGGCCCCTCATGGCGCCCTCGGGACTGCGCGGCGGTTGGGGGCCGTTGGGGGGCGCGGGGCCGGGGCG